ATACATAGGGAAGCAGGAGTTTTAATATTATAATTTAGTAGTTTATATAAATTAAATGTTATATTTAATTTATATTAATATTTTTATAATTTAGTATTTCCTTTGCAATACTTGTTTTCGACCGCTAGTTTTCGATTCTCCTTCTCCATATCAACCGTCACATACTGTATTACATATTCTTCGAACAAGTAGTAATTACAGGAGAAGGAATCATCACCCTCAACAATAACATTTCTCATTTATTAGTTGTAGAATTACATTACTATTACTGCCGTAGATTTGTTTTTGTAAATAATATTAATTGTTGTGAAAACAATAATTGTTACTGTTTGGGAAACTGTCGATAGAGGATGAAACGTTCTATCTGGAGCCATCAATAATAGAGCTGGAGCCAGTGAAGAGACGAATCGCCACAGCATTTTCTCATATGCACCCTTGATGCCATATAATCAGGGTACTAATTAGCGGTTTTCTCGTTGATGACTCTGTCAAAAGTGAAAAGTAAGATGTGCAATCGATAGAGGATGAAAAGTTCTATCTGGGGCCATCAATAATAGATTGGAGCCAGTGAAGAAACGAATCGCCACAGCATTTTCTCATATTTACCCTTGATGTCATATGATCAAGGCACTAATTAGCGATTTTCTCGTTGATGACTCTGTCAGAAGTGAAAAGTAAGATGTGCAATCGATTGAGCGTGCACATCCATTTCAAGAGATACGTTGTCTGACAGGCAAGCTCTCCAAAACAAATTTTTTGTCGACACTATTGCATGCTGATTATCTGCTAAAAATGATTTCCACCGGTGTCGAAGTTTCTTCTGAACCACCGTTTGAAATGCGTGACATTTCCGATGGTTTTATGAAACGTTTGCCAGAATGGTTACGAGAAGAGTTGAAACCGATTGATCAGAGAAAAGATTCTGTCATTATCAATAGTGCTCATCGATTTTGGATTGAAGCAGGACAAATCACCTACGAATATCACTTTGGCAAAAAGAATAATTTAATCACCTACTATCTCAGTGATAAACCAATGTGTGTCAAGAAACAATTTATGCAATATGACGAACAAGGAAATTTAATTGATGATTTGTCAAAACTAGATGACGATCATTCTCCAGAAGCTCAATTTGTCCAATCATTTACTGGATATTATGATCAAGTGGGATCGTATTTTCTCGAATTATTAAGATTCAAAGAGTTATTGAACTCGGCGTTTTAGTTTTATTTATTCGATCTACATTTGAAAATATTCAAAAATATCTTAATAATATTCGAATTAAAATTGATCCTGTGAATGATTATTTGCAAAGAATTCGAAACCAAATAAGCTATCCTTGTGCAACTGATCAGGAAATTGATAAAATTGTCAATAGCGTCTTAAGTGATCAAAATATCTCGTATTCAGCAGTTTCATATGAGCAAATGAACGAATTAAAGACAAAAATCCGATCACAGTTGATCGAAGCTGATGAAACGAACTTGAACAAAATAGTAGAAGCGATTTGTGAAGCATGTCGTGGATCACACCACATGGATATGTTAAAAGATTGGTGTCAAATTGGTTAATGTACAATCAGAAGTCTGAGCTGATCAGCTTTAATGTGTACTCATTGGAAATATACAAACGAGAGCAATATTTGAAAATATTGGAATTAATCGTTTGTATGGGAGTCAGTCTTGGCAAAGAGACCCAGTTTAAGTTGAACAATGTAGCTGCAGACTGTTCGTGGGTTCCTGCTGTATTTTGTTCGAAGAAAGAGAGTGCTTGGAAAGTCTAATTGAGATATACTACCTTCGAAATACGGAGACTCGCGAAATAGATGATTCTAAATTTTAGGGCTATCAAAGAGAAAAATAATTACTACTGTGTAATGTACTGTTTCTCAAGTACTCAAAATAAATTAAGTGTTTTAAAAGCATCAGAGTTCTCTAGATATGAAAGTGGGTTTATGGAAAAGCCAAACTCACATTTCGAAACTACAAGCGGCATGGAATAAAAAAGACAATTGGCTGTGCTTGCGAAGCGACATCGCAGCTGATGCAGTGAAAATGTAGAACTCAAATATTACGATGTAATAGTTACTGACGAAGGCACTTTAACAACATCGATTTTCTATCGGGGATTCAGTGGAAATGGGTCACTTCATACTCTCGAATTTTCTGCATATGAAGTCCAGCATTTTTTCTAATATTTATATCAAAAGGTGTAACGTGAAGTTCTCTACAAAACGCTTTGTTTCGTTAACTAATGTATCTATTTTTGTTTCACACAAGCCTAAACAACCCTTGAAAGATATAATGATAACTTTTTAAAAGTATGTCAAATCATATTTTTTTTCTATGTACCATTTTACTTCTCCAGTCGATATCAATTTTGCTTAAACTATATATGCAGTGCAGTGTGTCATAATCATAAGAACTCTTTTGTTTTTGATCTTGCAGGCAAAGCTGGAGCAAATCTGAATACTGTTTTGAATAGTCGGAAGATTTTTCTATCAGATGAGGTTCATATGGCTGCCGTATGAGGAAATCTGATAATAGGGTTTCTGGAAAACCTGACTGCTAGAAAATCAAGTCTCTGGTTTTTTGCGTCAAAAGTTTGCAAACCGTACAGCTCGATACAGGAAGGAATTCTGAACAGAACAGAATATTTTTCGGATGTCCGTAACGCTGTTTCACCAGAATATTTTGGTAATTTTGACACCCGTTGTACCATTCGTAAATCGGGTGCAATTGTGTGAAAATGCGCTATACAGCTTCAAAGCTTTTTGTTCGTAATGCTCTCAATGGTGTCACTTGCTCATGCAAAGGTGGTTGCAAAAACAATCAATGTGCGTGCAAGAAAAACAACAACCATACACAAACGTTCAATTGTAGCGAGACTAGTAAGCCAGTTGTTGATACGAGTAAAGATGGATAGAAGATATGAGACAATTTTACATTAAAAAAAAATTGACTATATTATGATTAAATAGGATTCCACTACTTCCAGGAATGACATGAACCATTTTCGCTAGGAGAAACAGCAACGAAAACTGATTTATAGCAGAGATGAGAAGAAGATAATTTCCAACGCCAACTTTTCTTGGTTTCGGGCGAATAAATGTAAGAAAACTGGACAGATTATTGAAGAAGGCAAAGAGAAATACGAAAAGAATAATAGAAACAAAGAGACCACCTAATAATTTTTTATTTGTTTGAATATCTTTGATTATCAATGAATCCAATGTAAAACTCATTAGTTTATTTGAAAATTGACATAATTTACCGTAATAACATCGAGGACATAAACAAAGAAAATCGGATTTATTCATTTTTAAATCACCTTTTAAACAGTAACCAGTTGATAGACAAAGAGAACATCGATCACTTGCTGGATCATAACCAAAACATTCAGCACGATAGAAATCTTTCTCACGAATACAAAGATAATCATCGTCATAAAAACAGGCCAACGGAACCGTAGCCGTGTGATTTATTGTTCGACAAATTTGATGATATTTGAAAACAGCAGTGGTTGAATTAAAGTTGTATTTTCTGAAACTGTTACAAGAAAAACATATATGATTAATCTTTGTAAAAGTTTCAAATTTACAACTCTTATATCAACGCTAACTTACCATACCACAGTGTCCGAACATTCGGACAACGATTTTCACTTGACAATGGACTGACTATATTAAAAGATGTAATATTTTCATGAATGTAGAGGATAAAATAGTTTGAAGCTTGAGATTCAAATATGGTTTCATATAATTTAATATTACTAAGAAATTCCTTATGAGGTGATCGTGATAAAGACTAACGGATGATGGAGTACCGTAATAGATTGTTTGATGACGAGTGATCAAGTTCCGTTTATTGGCGTTGGAATTATCTTCTTCTCATCTCTGCTATAAATCAGTTTTCGTTGCTGTTGATAAACCGTTTTTGTAATCATCAACCTTGGCATCAAAAGTTTTTTCTGCGTTAGATATATCATCTGCGATCAGCACATCATTTCCATCTGACAAAATCACGCCATTGCTACCAATATCATTACTACCAGGATGGTTGTACATTGATTGACTCGACTGCGATTGCATTTCATCAATAAAATCGTTATATTCCATGACAGGAAACAAGAGAGATTAAGAAGTTACGTATTAAGTTTTGTTATGCACGCGCAGTACTGCAATGACATTATAACTTTACTATTTCATATCTGTTTTGTCTAGTCCATTCTGAGTTTGGCCTGAGGAAACTTTTAATTTCAGTTTGGCCTAGTTCAATCAGAGTTTGGACTAGAACAGTTAGTCCAATGTAACTTTGGACTGCAATTTTTTCTTTCGACCAAGACTGGCCTAGTCGAATCTCCGATCGTAGTTTGGACTACTGAAATTACAGGTCAAACTCCGATCGGAATTTGGTCTAGGCCAATCTGAGATTGGTCTGGATCGGAGTTTGGACGCTGACATATGCGTTATAATCATAATCAACAATGTGAATAATTATATTATTTCGCTCTCTCGATCTCTGTTTTTCGTCCGATATATCTACCTCTTTGTTCTATAATTATGGCATCAACTGCGCCTATATCATCACTGTCGCACATTTGACTTAAATAGTATGAAAATCTTTACGATAGTTAATATTTTTCTCATCCGAGATATTGGCGAGGATTCTGCTGAGAAACTGTTAGGACAAAGTACCATAAGCCTTATAAAGATACATTCGAATTAGCGCTACAAGTTTCTGTCTACTCTATTTGCACAGTGAGGAGTAGCATTTTTGCATGAAAACAAATTAAATCAATCTACCAGAGGCCACATTAGTAAAATATGCTTTAGTCAGAGGGTAAATCAGATATAGTGGAAACTAAAGGTACTTTGGACTTCCTGGAACAAAGCAAACATAAAGTTGTTGCTGTAATTCAAACTTTTCTTTACATGACAATCTACGGCTACGGCATAATCATGACTGCTCCTTCGTTTTGTGTAATCTTCACCATTTTTTGTGTTTTACAGAGATTTCTTTCATGTGTCTTTTCGTTCTCATGTTCCTAGCTTTGGCAAACTATTTTTATTAAACCTTTGGTAATAAATCGCTCGCTGACCGAACATGTTCGGTAGCGATGCGGTAGAACACACATTCGCTCACATTGTACACGAGTTAGTCTATTTTCTCGCTGGTTAGTTCTAGTGGCATAGCCACTGGATGGGCTCAGCCCCCCCCCTAAAAGTTTTATAACTCACGCTACCCTGCGGTAATATCTTATAAATTCTGACTTGTTAGAAAATTTTAACTATGTTTTTTTGAATCAGCGTCAAAAACTGATTTAGAAAAAAGCTTTCTAGGTAATTCTAGCGGTAAACACTCGTCCGACATAGACATCCGAACTAGTGTCAAAACGGTGATCCATTTTATAACTGTCTCTAAAAAAGATGGTTAATAAAAATTCTCGAATTCGATTTTTAGGTTTTTTTGACATTTCTCTTGGTAGGGAAGTCGCAGGAGGCTCGAAAACTCACTTTGCTCACACTTAAATTCTCTATCGTTCTAGATTATTTTCTGGTTGTTGAGAAGATTTTCTAGAGATTCGATCTCTGGAAAACCCTCTAGATAGTTTTTGAAAATTTTAAAAATGTCTCCATTGAATTCGCCATCGTTTTTAGCTTATCTGACGCTATTTCCATTAAATTTGGACGAAAAAATCGAGACTTAGTCGAAAATGAACTGATCGTTTTTCGCTTCGTTCCAAAGAAAGTCGTTTTTCTCCACAAGGAAGATGAATTTCAAAAATGTACAGAACTGACACAAGCATGGCAACGTTATCTACTTCTAACCAGCTATTTTCTCTCGTATTTCCCACAAATTGTTGGTTTTATTCTCTATGTACCACAGTCAACGATCTACAAAGAAGAATTTCAACAGACATTCATTGGTAAGAAATTGATCAACAAAAAACAGATAACAAAGGCAACGCATTATAATATCAAAATGAAAATGAAAGTTACGAAACCAACTGCAGTATCGTTTTTCGCTTCGTTCCAAAGAAAGTCGTTTTTCTCCATAAGGAAGATGAATTTCAAAAATCGGTATATGCAGTTTTAAAGCTTGTTTCAGGGTGATTCCTCTCGCGTATGACTCAATGCGATAGCTCTTAACACGAACAACTAGATACAGTCACAAAATGGATCACTCCGTTTTGACACGTACTGGTTCGGACGTCTATGTCGGACGAGTGTTTACCGCCGGAATCACAGTAGACAGCTTTTTTCTAAATCAGTTTTTGACGCTGATTCAAAAATATATAGTTAGAATATTCTAGCTTGCAATACAACTTTAAAAAACGGTTTTTATGATGGATGTCGTTTTTTGAGGTTTTTTAGGGCTTCACACTTTTTCGCATTTTTCTCCATGAAGAAAAGAGCTTCTAAAAGCTGCGAAGGTGATATTGGAGATAAGCTTGATGTGGCGAATCAGAATATGTATAAAAAAGTCAGAAAAAAAATTTCACTTGAAGTTTGAATTAGCTGCACCTTACCACTTTGGAAAACATTTGGGCAACGCCCACTCACTGACAAAATCCTGGCTACGCCACTAGTTAGTTCCTTCAAAAACTTCAATTTCATCTCATTTGTCTTTAGTTCAGACTAGACATGCAACAATCCCCAGCTAGGGCTCGCTGATCCGCGCCGAACATGTTCGGTAACAAACCGTTCGGTGCCGATCAGCGAGCCCTGGCTTGGAATTGATGTATGCCTAGACGAGGCGATGACGGAGCAGAAAGCTTACGGGCGATCCTCGCGAAGAACATTTTTCTTTTTATTATAACTCATTGTTTAGAGAATGTCTCTCTTGCTTGGATTTATTATGATTTTGCAACTTTGGAATAAAATAAAAACACTGGCGTTCATCTTGACATTAGAGAATAACAAAGTATAATTTTATCCGTCTGCTATTTTTATATTCTGTTCATGTTGTTTAATTAATACATTTGTTTTAATTCCTTTAAGCTCATCATCGTTCATATAACTTTGCTTAAAAGTAAGTGCATCATTCAGATGAGGAAATGTTATATTTGGTATTGATTTATTCAGAATTTTGCAAAGTTGTTCCAAACCTTCTTCCACACGATAAATAAGCAATTGATCCGATGGAATTACTGAAATAACATTTGAATTGTGTGTTTTCATGTGTTTAATTGCTTTGTCATGAGATAGAAAAACATTTCCATTCATTGCAATTAACATATCCTATATTATTTTTAATTTTTCACTTTTAAGATCTGAGATGGTCGTTGTACCAAGGAGCATTATGTGAAGACACAGTAACAACCTTATTCTAGATTGTATTATTTGCGATTTCTAAGAACTGCTCTAACCATGCCATTACCTGTTTATCAAATGACTGATGTCGATTCGCTAAATCCAATCAACTTTGTTCAATTCAGTACGATAATTATCCCAGTCTGTTATCTTATTATCATAGATTTGACGTCTATAGGTAAAATGACAGTGTTTTATAAACGAGAAATTAAAAACAACAACGGAATGATCACACGTAGAACAGAATGGACTTTCAACCCTCACATCACAAATAAAACTTTGATCACTACTTAAAACCAAATCCAGACACGTCTGTGATTTTTCTCTTCTTCTTTTGTAGAGGGTTTAGTTACATTGTAAATTCGTCATATTTTGGTAGATCAAATAATTGAAATAGCTTTCTTCGTGAGACACGTTCTACTTTCAAAATATGTAACTACTCACTAGTCCTCAATACAAATCATATATTTTCTAGCAGTAAGTGTTTATTGTAAATAATGTTAACTGAATTATTTTGAAGTATTATAGTCCATTTGCATTTATTAACATTCAGCATGAGCGTAAGGCGCGCATAATTCAAAGGTCGAGCACTATTTCAGTTTTGGTTTCCTTATACATCATTCGATAGAGCCTTTCACGCTGATCAAGAATATCATTCTTTTGGCTTTCCCAGTGTACGTTTTCACGTAGAAAACTTCGAAATATTGTGAGGGTCTCAAAATCGAAAAACCCTGAATTTTTTTTCGCCTTAGTATATTGAGTTAGAATCATTAATTAGAATAAACTCTACTAAAGCAGTTGCACTAGGAATTACGGATCGAATACTGCGAGAGGCTTCACCCGTCATAGCGCCATTTCCTGCATCCTTGTTTAACAGGTCATTAAAATTAGAGATATTTCCATCTATGTGAAAAGTAGGATTTATTCATGCGTTACACAAATCTGAGGATATCCATTCCGTTAATAATTATTGTCCAATAACTCTACTTTCCTCAGTATCAAAAGTCTTCGAGCGGCTTGTTTTTAACTGAATTTTTAAATTTCTCGTTGCGCAAAAGCTAATTTCTGAAAATCAGTCTGGTTTCTTACCATTACACTTAACAACAGGTCAATTAATAGATATTGTTCATCGTGTAGCGAAAGGATTCACAAATGGTGAGTCGACTGTTGCCTGTTTTATCGATTTTTTTCAAAGCTTTCGACAGGGTAAACCATGAAGGTTTACTCTTACAACTTCGCAATAAAGGAATGCCAATGACGCTCATCAATTGGTTTAAAAGTTATCTCTGTGACCGCCAGATTAAAACAATAGTTGAGGATTTTGAGTCTGATGTAAATGACGTCACTTGTGGGATTCCTCAAGGACCGGTGCTTGGACCACTTCTTTTTTTATTATATATTGACGACTTAACATTTGGTCTCAAATGTTCATGTAAGCTTTTTGCTGATGACGTCTCACTATATGAAACAGCTGCAAATATGCCTAAAGCTATTAACCAAATGGATGAGGATTTAAATTCGATCCAACAGTGGTCAAATGATTGGCTTTTGCCAATCAATCTCAACAAATGTTTTCAAATGTTTTTCTTTCCGTCACACCGTACGCTACCTGTCTTATCATCATTATATATTGGGGGCCATAAATTAGAAATCGTGAGTTCTCATCGACATCTTGGTCTTCTTTTGACGAGTGGCTTGGATTGGACTAAACACATTGATGAAGTTATACTCTCTCACTTCCTGCTTTTCTCCTTTACTCCTTTTCTGCTTTACTTCTTTCCTTTTTTCCTTCATTACTCTTTTACTACTTTCCGTCTTTCGGGTCTTTAAAACACTCTTTCGCTCAAGAGCAAAACATTAAAGAGGAAAGGAGTAAAAGAGTAAACAAGGATAATGTCCATTGCACTTGTGATTTTCTGTCAGTATACGAGTACTTGGCCTCAAGTACATTCACAAGGGAAAGCAAAAAGGTTGCTGCTAATAAAAATATTGAAGAACAATGGGTTATATCTTATTTATCGTACAATAACAGAAGTCACTTTTCACAGGGTACCCCAGTTATAATTTTCCATCTGTCTTTGATCATATTGTATCAAGAGATAATACTCGCGATGAGATATTACTAAATAGCTAACACCCACTAACATCACTAACATTCACCAACACCCCATAATTATAGCCGGTCGATAGATCTGTTCTTTGTGAATAAAGTAATATCAAACATACACCGAAAAACTTTATTTCAAAGAGGATTCTTTAGGGCTTTGGCGTTAGGAACACCCACTAACACCCAACATAATATGCCAGAATAATCGCCATCCTCTTTTGAGCCTGTTAGATCACCTTTGAATTCATAGGAAATCCGATTAGAGCAGAGGTGGTCGGACCACTCAACGTTGCACAGTGGGCAACTAAGCGGACATTAGGCCAAAAAGTCGATTTTATCTATCTTGAAATACAAATAGTGCAAAATGTAGCTCTTGAAATTCTCTATCGAATGGTGTATAAACGTCTATTGTGAAA